TTCAATATAAGAACTTTACCCTTTGGGATGGGGAGTTAGAAGGGGTTGGGGAGGGAGGGATAGATGGGAAGAAGGATAGGGGAAGGTTAGCAGTGTGGCCAGAGGACACAGGTGAGAAGGAAAAAGAGAATAATAGGAAAATAAAGAAGAACTCTGAATGAGGACCAAAACAGGGACAAAAAGGGAGATGAACAATATGGGAGAGCAAGAGAGTCAGTGTAAGAGAGAGAGAAAGGAAAGAGAAAAGAAAGAAGAAAAGAAAAGAAAAGAAAAAAAAATGGAGAAAAAAACAAATATTTGCAAAGAGTAGGAAAAAGAATTAAAGATAAGAGGAGCAAAAGAAAAGAAAAGAGAAAAAAACCCAAACTAATAATACTAATTTTGGGAATAAAAAAAAACAATGAAGATGTAGGGCCTCCTTCAGGGTATGTCTCTGCTGTCACAATAGACAACGTGGGCAGCAGTGTGCAGCTGTAAGTCAATGAGTCTCAGCAAGCTAGTCGCAGACCCATGAGATTCAGGCAGATTTCTGGCTGCAAGTTTCAAGTTGAGAGCTCCGTGTCCTCCTGTAGGGTTGAACTCTGCAGAGTTGTATTGCAGGTTCCAGCTGCCCTTTCCCTGAAGATAGACCCAGTCCTGATGGGAGGTGAAGATGACTCCAACGTACCCTGTACAGTGGTCTGGTGGTCCGGTGTCCTCTGCATCTTTGTAGTGTGGAACCAGGTGGCTGTACAGAGAAGAGGCCTGAGGAGCGGGGTGGGGGTGGGGTGGGGGTGTGTGTGTCCTGTGGATTGCTGCTGGGCACGGGCTGATTGGGCGTGTTCCGCATGACTCGCGACCTCGGTAGGGCATCCGCAGACCTGCCTGTTTGCAGCGGGCTCCATGTAGAGATTTTTGTAAATTTTTTAAATATTGTAATTGTGATTCTAATAGAAAGTTTCCATATCGCTTTTTCAGTAAATAGTAAGATAAAAATATTTTCCCAAGTTATTACAAATTACTCATAAACATTATTTAAATTGATTTAAAAATACTTCTTCAAGTATTTTAAATATTTCTTCATACTAGAGGTAACTTGAAGATCCTACATTTTAGTTTTTTTTTTTTTTAGCTTTTTAAAATACTTAGATATATCTGTGCTAAATTCTTTCCTGTTTTTAAGATTTTATTTTATTTTCTGTGGAATGGATTGAAGCCAGCTCTGTTACTGTTGAATTACATCCCCAGCCGAAGATTCTTTTGTTGTTTCTTTTTTTTTCCTTTTGAGCCAGGGTCTTGCTCCTTGAGACAAGGAGCTGGCACGACAGGCCTACCCCACCATGCCTCACTCATTGCTAATTTGTTATTATTGATGGATGTCAGTTTCTCATTCAGCTTGGGGCTGTTTCCCTTGCTCTGTAGTCGAGGCTGACTTGGAATGATGTAGTTCAGGCTGGCCTTGAACTCACTGTGCAGCTTAACATGGCCTCGAACTCATGGCCATCTGCCTGCCTCAGCCTCCCTGATGCTGGGATTGCAGGTGTGCGCCACCACACCCAGTTTTGACTTGGGTTCTATATCAAAGAAATCTCATCGTGTATGTACAGATATTCCAAAATCTGAAAAAAAAAATTGAAATCTGAAGTACTTTTGGCCCAGGCATCTTGGATAAAGGATGCTCAGCCTGTATGTTGCTGGCATCCACGACTCCAGTTCCATGGCTGTCTCAGTGCTGTGGCTGCTCCTCTGTCCCCTCCCCACGCACATCCGTGCCCACCAGTTTTGCTGGCCCTCGATGCCCTTCTAACCTTGCAAGAGTGTTGCTCCGAGTCCCAGCTCACCCTCCCGCAGCCCACTGCTCTCCTGCAGGACCTGTCTCGAGCTTCCTTCCAGGCCCCGCCCGTTAGAGGGAAGGGGAGTGGCTCTTACCTGCTCCTAAGAGCCCAGTGGATTTAGCCAAGAAACCAGACCTTGAGACTCATCCAGAAAAGTCACACAAGCTTCGATTAGTTCAGCCTTGACCTGGGAGGAAAGGAGCACTGGACCTTGGTCCTGGGCTCTGGTCTTTCCCTTTGACCTGAGGTTCTTCGCTCAAGTCCCCATCATAGCTGGGAGCAGGGGATGTAGTGGACGCGGTGGACTCTTTCCTGGCGAGGCTGCAGCAGAGGTTTCTCTCGCTGTATCCTGTCCACCCCAGGGAGGCTGGAGAGTCCCAACTGGTGGCTCCCGGCTGGGGAGAGGACGGGGGACAGCTGCAAACCTGGTGCAGTTGACAAACTGTCGAAACACATCTTTGCTACCTTGATAAGTGAGCCTGGGTATCTTACTGTTTTAATTGAACCCGGAAATACACATACGATCCGCATGAATGTTACCTTGGAAGATCATTTCCTGCTGCTATTATTCTCAGTCCTCCGATTGGTATCTCAATTATGATTAATTTTTAAACACTGTTGTTGACAGCTACCACAATGTTTGAAACTGGGAAGGACAAAGGAAATCCGGATGAATTTGCTGTCGCACTTGACGAGACTCTTGGAGACTTTGCATTCCCGGACGAGTTCGTCTTTGATGTTTGGGGAGCCGTCGGTGATGCCAGACAGGGGTGATTTTGACATGGATGGTCCAGCTCTGAAGAAATGAACCATTGTTCTTAAAAAAAACACAACTCCTTAAGAACTCCTTTAGACAACTTTATGAACTCTGGTTTAATTTTCTGTGTATGGAATACATTCTTTGAAATATAATTTTAATTTCTGGAGGCTTCTTAATGCAGTTGCTCATGTGGTATGGTTCAGATAAATTGCCTAAAGTATCAGTTTTAATATTCATTCAAAAGCCTTTAAAAGGAAAATTTTCAACAATTTTTTTTTTTTGTACCAGAGATCGAACTCAGGACCTTGCGCCTGCTAGGCAGGTATGGTGCCACTGAGCTAAATCCCCAGCCCTAAAAGGAAAATTTAAGGAGTATTTCCACACAGATGATTTTGCTCCCCATGAACACACCTGGGCTTTGTTTTCTACATTAAGTAATTGATTGGAATAGCTTTATAATTTTTTGTTTTTTGCAAAATCTTAATGTAATAAAAATTAGAATTGGAGTATGGTTTATCTCATAACATCTTAATTTTGTTATATTAGCTTGAGTAGAATATTTCAGAAAAAGAAATATGAATTACACATTTATTAAAAAAGCATTTTTTTTAATCCACCGAGTAAGGAAAAGAGGATTCCTTTGGCTTTTTTAATGACATATGTTCTCTCTTTGTAAAAAAAAAAAAGATCTGTTTTTTGTTTCTTTGTGATTGCTCTTAAAACTTGTGATTGAAATCTGTTATATTGTGTGTGTAATTATGTATGTGTATGCATACATATGTTTGTGTGTGTGTAAGGATAAAAAAGAGGCAATTAGGGTAGGACCATTTGTTTCATTTTTTGCAGCTCTTAAAATATTATTTCTTTTTTTCATTCAATGCTTCTTTTATATTATCCTTCATAAGCACTCCAGGGAAGGTTTTGTAGTCTTTGCAGCATTTTTCTTTTGAAAGATACTTACTTTTGAAAATTATTTTGAAAGATATTTTCTTTGGAAAGAAAATAACTGTGTTTGAAGATTTTTGGGGGGGGGGACTTAAGCAGTAATCCTTTTCAGCTTTCTAAACTGTAGAGGAGATATTATCAGAAATAGATTTGCCCCCAGTGGAAATAAAGGAGGAAAGGAGAATGAGAAAATGTATTAGTGTATTAGTTTAGAGTTCTAACACACTCCCTCTAATCCTTACATTATCAAGAAAGCTGAGGGTAAGTGATAGTCTTATCACTCTTATTTGACATTTTACTGGTGCAAGAGAAATAGAAATGAATGGTTTCAACGTATATCATTTAATAAGGCAAAGCACAGTGCGACCAAGCATTCTTTTTTTTTTTTTCCAAAACACGTTTAAGTTTTATTGAAAATGATAAAATACAGAAACACCAGATTCTCATTTTAAAGTAAAACTGATAGCATCTCCCAGAACTTTTCTAGCACTGCACCCATTCTTGTCACTATTAGAAAAAAGTTCCAAATCCAAAATAATAAATGGACCTGCTGGTAAACATTTTT